ACTTTTTTTTAAAGAAAAATAGCAAAACCAAAACCCATAGGAATTAGGATCGAAAGCTCTGATACCATGATAAATTTGGAAGAAACCTTAGAAGTAAAGTAGTTTCTCTCTGTTTTATTGATTAGCCAATAGATCCTATTTATACAAGAATATAACTTGTTAAACAAGTTCTTTACATATTTGATATTTATACACAAATATTAACTTTCCTTTCCAACTAGATCTCATAATCCCTGAGATCTCTAAAAATAAAACCAATTCCTACTTAGATATATCTCGGTGGATCCTAGTTGAAAATGTTGGAGCTTTGTCAGATGTGATATGTCAGTTAATAAGCTATATGAGCTGAACAAGAATCAAGAATCAGTTATTGCTGATACTGAGTTGGACCATACCAAAGAGATCCAAGTACATTCTCTAGGTCAAAGCAACAAAAATATAATAGAGGTAACTCCATGTGCAAGATATGAAGCTATCTAGATCTTGGACAGTTATTAGGGTTGTTTCATCAAATTAACATGTATAAGTGTAGAGTTTCGATGTGTTTTGTGAGAGTTCTTAGCATAATCTAGTTTTTTTTGTTTATAGTATAGTGAACAAAATGCGAAGTACTAATGGATTTTTTTTTTTGATAAAATTTGAATATATTACCAAAAGGAAATATAGTAGATTTACACAGCTTTAAAACCAGAAGTTACAGAGGCCAAAAAAAAATAAAAAGCCTTGTGGAACTAATAATAGGTTAAAATATAGTGCAGTACTACGAGTAAGTGAACCACTGCAACAGGAGACCATTYCAGCGCCTCCYTGAGTAMCYCGCTAGTAGTGAGTCCCGTGTAGTTCGYTCTATCCGTTTGAAGATTTRTGCAGCAGAGAGAGTCAAACCTGTGTGGACACGCGCGTTCCGCTCCATCCAAATAAGATAGATAGTGCATTGAGCCACTAATCGTTTCAAAATCCTAGAGATTGTCRTCGATGGAGTTCTCATCCATTGCAACAATTGAGACCAATTAACCAAACCCATAGCCGAACCACCATTTAACCTTGGCGTGACCATTCTCCAAACGTCAACTGCAAAAGTACACTGGAAAAAGATGTGGTCACGAGTTTCCTCAAACCCATTGCACATCGAACAAGCCGGAGATATGGATGCATTCCAATGATGAAGTCTCGACTTAGTTGGAAGTCTATCTAAAGTGGAGACCCAAAACTGAAATGCGTGTCTCGGAACCGCATGACTAAACCAAACCTCTTTGTACCATGGAGCCAACGGGGCAGAAGGGCGCAGAAGATTCCAAGTTACTTTAGTGGAGAAACAAGATTTACTCGAGCCTTCCTCACCCCATGTGTAAACATCCGGTCCTCTGATAGGAGCTGGTGGATTCAGATTGGTGATGGCGTTTCTATAGGCTTGAACTGCCGTGTCCCTAGAGCGAAGAGATGGAAGAATCCATCCCGTAGTTGAAGAGGCAGCAGTCGAGACAGTTGACTTAATGGGGATACC